CAGTGACTAAGGTCTCTGTCATTCCATGATGGGTGAAAAGTTTTCTCAACATGCTAATTGTTGCGACACTTGTTGTACACTACATTCAAGGTACTTCAGGCCACTTGCTGAAGAAATCAACAACGATAAGATACTGTTTATTCACAGGACAGAAGAAATCCGCAAGTACTCGCTCCCACTGTTTCGTTGCCCGTAGCAAGGAAGATACCTCCACTTTCCTGTGCGCCATGCTGACAAGCGCACATTTCGGGCGCTATTTTGCCACCTGCTCCAGTAAGTAACCTCGCGCAATCATTTTCAAGCTGTTAATGCCAGACAAGTAGCCGACGCGAAAGAGAATTCAGCTGTGGAGGCCATTAACCGGCGTTACTGAAATTGTCCCTCATCCCCTCATGAAAGTAGTCTGATACTTTTACAAGGGTTAGTTTAACTCGTAGTTACGTCTTATTCTTTAGTGGTTTTAAAACTTGCACGAGATCCCATCTTGTCTATCTTTAAAAGTTACGAGAAACTGCACACGTATATCGGAACCAATATTTCTTATTCTCATTGACATAGGATGTACGCAAAATGCTACATATGGAACATACATGTTCCATCCAGCGACAATCATACCCTTGTGAACTTTCAGGATTTCATTTGCAGCGTACACATTGTACCAGCTATTCGAACTGATGTTGCATTTTCAGTTACTACGGATATCGGAACCGTGTTTTTTTCGTAACACTACTGATGTTAAATTCATCCTATCTCCTTTTTGACTCACATGTTGTCTACTATTGCGCAGACTGTCTGTGCGCACAGTCCGATTGATCTCACAGGCAGATCATTGTGTTTCTCGTACCTTTCCGAGTCCACCCCCACATTGCTTGACTTACGGACTATCGCTACCAATGTGGATACATTTCAAAAATTCTGGTAGCAATGTATGGACGGTTTAATCTTCAAGTGTTTGATTTGCTTAGCTCTATTATGGGCTCCATATTTCTGAAACTGAGGTTGGCGACGGGTGATTGAACTTGTCTCTACAATCGGGCTATGCCTGAGTGATTGACGTGTGACACTAATCCCCCGGTAATCCGTCAGGTACAATTAGGTTGGATTCATGTGCTGACGTGATACTTGCCGGTTCGATACCTCTGACACGATTATGCCAATTCTAAGAAACTGTTTTATCTCGCTGTGGAGACAAAGTGTGCAGTGTTCGTGACTGTTAGGCTTTTTGGGGGCGATTACACCACAGAACGGACTACGGACGCGTTATCGTTTCACGTTTTCCCAGCACACATATTTCCAAACTTTCACATTTCGGTTTCGTTTGTTGTACGCGTGCGTGCAAATTGTTTCCGTGACTCTTATCCGCATGCCTCCTCGCCAGATTCCCTTACACTTATACGTTATATGGCTTGGTTGTATATCGCTTTAAGTGGGGAAGTGAAAGCCACCCGCAGACAAACACTCTGCAGCCGCTGTTGTCTTGTATGTGTACACACTATGTTGCGTTAAACAGTCATCCAATTAGCTTGGTTCCGACTGAACTGGCGCACACTATTTTCATACTAATACCCATAAATGCTGTAGCGACATGGGACAACATGCAACAGGAAACAACGACAATTTCATCGGGGAAATATGACGACTCTCACTAATCGCATTGGTAGCAACAGTTCTATTGACTCTGCAATCAACCGATCACAAGCTTAAAAAGCGGTCTGTCACATATGTGTCTGGCTAACTCCACCTTTTATCTCAACTAATCGTAAGTAGCAACTGTGTTTATTGATCGTTTGTCGAGAGTTTATCTTTCATGGATAAACTGTCAAAAGTCAACCACCGCGCAATCGATTGCGAAACTGGGTAACCGAGTTGTGAATTGTAACTCCATTCCACTCCCATATCATTTTACTAAATCTAACTCGGCTCTTCATGAAACGTACACGTAGAAAGCTTCTGGAGAATTCGGCGCAAGTTCTTACCGACAGCGGTACCCATGTTTCGATTAATCGCAAAAACACTAATCTGTGACGCAGTTCCTCTTCCCCACCAATTCACAGAGCCACTGCTTGATTCAATGCGCACCAGGTCATTTCCCCAGAAGTTTGCGGTAATTAGTCCTATCACCACTGTCATCGTTATCTCCGTCTCTTCCTAACAAGATCTCCTGAGTAAACCACACAATTGCTAACTGGTTTATCGTTTGGACGCGGTTAATGGATGGGGGAGGAGGCAGTGAATAAAAAATTCACCGACTCACAGATACTACCTTGTACGTGGGTTATCACCATCTGCTTTTGTGTGCAGTGTTCCCTAACTGCAGGTTCCCTGCATTCGAACCGTCGTCTCTTGTTTTGTTGATTCACACATTATCTTCGATTAGAATCACTTTTTCAACCACGTTCACATAACACTGCTGGCTCTGTAAAACTACGCACACGCTGCTGTTGATATTTAAGATTTTCCACCTCAGCCGTAGGCTGCCAGTTCGGCTGCTCGTATCGGACTGTTCCTGTGACCATCGGTTTTAATGTGGCCAACGTTGGATCGTATTGTTTCCTTCGCGACTGACCGGTTTTGATCACCAGCCAGCATTATGCTTCCACTTTCTGTTGTATTCGGTGTTGTATTGTTTGTTCATCGATGCCGGAGAGACGAGTGATCGCGAATCGGTCACCTAGCTTTGATGGGTATTATAGCTATTATTATTATTATTATTATTATTAGATATTGCTTACGACCCGCGCTAGGGGCATTCTTTTATTTCCTCCTACCTGAGATGCCTGTTAAAAGTGTATTAGCTCCCTAGTGAACTGTGAAGTATAGTTGCTTATGAGGTGATCGGTGAAAGTTCCAGAGAATTTGCTGCACCGATACCGTCTTATTCTTGCACGGTAACTATCTGTTTGTGACCGTGCCTCCTTGGCAAGGTGTAGGCACATTTATCCTGAATATCGGCTCGTTGCAGTTAAGTGCGAGATCAGCTTGTTACCTTTATTATTATTATTATTATTACTATTATCATCTTTCATTTGCAGAGTTACTATGGTTATACGGTAACGAGACGTTGCTATCAATCGCGGATATAATCTTGTTGTTTGTTATCAGAGTAACCTACGTTCAAATGCATGTCCTCTGTCTTTCTGACTTTTCCCTCTAAGAACACTGGTTTTTTTAATTTTTTGGTAACTCCACGGTTTCTGCCCGCACCGCGCATCGCTGACATCTATTACACTACAATCGAGTCTACTGTGGCTGTTGGCGCGTTAGCTAGACAGTTGTTTCGACTTTTTCATCGCTGTGACAATCCGTGGTTGCATTTAGGGGGTTACGAATGTCAAGTAGCATCATCCTCATCAATGGCAACAGCACTATAGGTTTTCCGCCAATCGGCTTTATCCATCGGAACAATCATGGATATGAGATAGCGTCACTTCATTTATCGACTCGCTGCCGACCAGGCATCTGGCTCGTAAGTCGCAACTCGCCGGTTCGAGTTTGCTTAGATGCGGGCCAACACACAGTATTCCTAACCAGCATGCGACCGTTGGTGATCGCGTCGCAGCAAAGCGAAGCGTCAGTACACGATACAAGCCTACTGTCGCTGTTGTCTTCTTTTTCTCTTCACCCGTGGTCTTTCAACCCCCACTGCTGCTTTGGTCGATCCATTAACACTGTCATCATTTCGACCCTAAATTGTATGACTAACAGTTAGCGTTGTTTGTTTGTCACGTCTCTCCGAGTTATTCGTTAGATGTGTGCCACACGACCCTCATATTGGTAGACACACTTGATCTGTTGTCCAGCTCTCGTATCGGCGTTATAAATGCAGAGCAGTTGGTCTGACTTGCGCAGCCCCACTCATCCGTAAGTGTTTATGTACACTTGTTTTCGGCCATCAACCTACCTTCGACTGATTAGCATCTCACCTTATATTTTCACCCTACATCTTACACTCGAGATCTCACCCGAACTGCTGTCGGTCCGTCTCGCTTTCCAGGTTGGAGTCCATGTGACTCACCTTGTGCTTGGCTCGAGACCCTACAGGACATCGCTCCCATTCGACATCAGTGGCGTGTCTGTTGTCGTTTCTTAATCAGGCTTCATGTTTATAGTGTGTTTGGGAGTGAGCTGTCTGCGGTGTAATGGCTGATTATGACGCGGGGAAGTGAAAGCCGCAAGGAAGCTGTCTCAATGATGCCACCTCTTTGCATGATCGTCAGCTGTTTGTGATTTGATGTTGTTAACAAAGTACAGGCGCATTGACCCTGAGTGTATGTTTAGGGTCTTAAGATTTTACGCTAAGTCCCCCTTCTTTTATTCCTCTTATTGTCCTTCGCACCGTATGTCACCGTGGTTGTGTACGGCAGCGAAGCATCAGTTCAAATGGCTGATGTACTCCTGTTGTTAATGTTGTCGAAAATGTCTCACTTGCCTAAGCGATGTGCTACTCCACGTCAGTCACTACAAGTTTGTTATGGCTCTGTCCATCTTCAAATAGGAGTAATAGATAGTGTGCGAAAATCATCGAGGCATTAGCCTTAGTTCCGTTGCCTCCACACTTTTTGCAAGTGTTATTTTTTGACGACTTACTGGTCCTCGTGAGAGTGGAATCATTGAAAGCCATGCTCGATTCTACTCTAGTCGTGGTTGCATCGAACACATATTTACTCTTTCTCAACTGTTTGAGCAGAGGCACGCTCTCAGACGACTGAATATGGTGGTTTTTATTGACCTGATAGTCGCGTTAGGCTCTTGATCGGGTCAGTTTGGTGAATTTCGTTCAAACTCATTTTCTTACTGTTGTTATTTATAGTTATTCTGGCGACGTGCGTCGTGGCAATTGGATCCAGCGCACTTCGGTGACTGAATCCTACTTTTTTAACTGAACTGAACACTAATCATGGATGATTGATAAATCGATTGGCCGATGCGTGCAAAGTGCACAAGCGCCCAACTATAGCTGCATTCCATCACTATACTTGTATCCTGTCTTCCCGTTGCAGGGTTCGGATTCATCCGCCTCAGCTCCTAAAACATCGAGGTTCAGTTCCGATGCACACCCCTCGCGTCTCACATCTTCTAGGTCCGCTATTTGTCCTTCTCGGGAGCTTCATGCTCGCCAAGGTGGATTACGTTCATTGTTGGCCACTGAAGTGGCTCCGTACGATCAGGGCGGACCGACTACACTGCGTCCGAGGCTATCGAGCTCGATTCACTCTGGATACCGGGGTTCCAAACCTGCTTTGACGTCATCCATGAGACTAGTGTCGTCAAGTTCGTCCATCAATTTGCAGCCTACTCTTCATCGCGCCGTATCTCTCGGTGCCAGGGACTCGAGGCTTCAGGATGCTTGTGGACGGCCTTCAATTTCACTGAACTCCGGCGCTACGAGTACCAAGAATCTGGAAGAACCGTCACTCTTTGGGCACTTCACAGCCTCCCCATCACCTGTCCCTAGTCCCTCCACCACTCCAGCTTGTTATCCTGCGGATGTGACTCGTGACACGTCACCAATGTATTTCCAAGGCCCCAGTCCGACCTTACAAAAGCACCTGTCTCAGTCGTCTGAAAGACAGCATAGTCCATTTTCCGTCTCCTCCTACCACACGCGCGCTCGCACAACCCACCACGCAGACTCGCACTTCAATCACCGAGCGGCCATATCGAGGCACAAGACGTTGGCGTTTCGACGGCAAAATGCTTACAATCCCCAGGCTTCACCTTCGCTTGTTGGAGGTGAGTATTGTCGTTTGATCGTAGCTTTCTTCCGTCACTTGTCGGGATGTCGTCCATACTCCAGTAAAGTTGCACTATCTATGCTTTTGAACTTATGGTGAACACATGCCGTATCCTTCCTCGGTTTGTATGTGACATCTCATCACTGACGAATTCAACAAATCCAGATTACAGTTCCTAACCGTATACTTCTTTACATAGATAAGCAGTAATTGTCCGATCCATCCATTATACTCGCACATGCCCCAGCCCATACATCCATTAGCCCTCTGTTACATGTCCGTCGCACTGGTATGATTGGGCGTCTTGCTATGAACTGGGCGACGCTGGGTCGCCGCAGGCTTGGAGTACTCGTTGTATCTCGCTGCTTCATCACGGGACATGTGTGTCCACTGAGCCCGCGCATCAAATCACTGGAGACGACACGTGCATCAGGCTCCAGTGGGCTGATCGCGATCTATTTTTTCGTTCTTGTGTTTCCTTCAATGGATAGATCCGTCTTTTTCGATTAACCTAGCGTTTATCCTACATTCGGCAGTTTACTGTCAATTTTTAACAGGTTGGCCGCAAGGGACACCACTACTGGACGAGTTGCTGTGCGATTTCGCGTTTCGGATCCAATTCCATCCTTTTACGAACAGGTCATTTCTTAAGCTGTGTTGATCACATGTCTAAAACCGTCTGCCATCTTCACGTTACAAACTGCTAACCTCCTTGCTGAATCGTGCCCACGTGCGCAAGGGAAGCTTCGCCTCTGGTCCTATGTCTGTTGCATGTTGAGCTACAGTTTATCAATTCGCGTCACGTGCAATTGTAGCAACTTCGTAGGCCCCTCTGCATACCTTTGCAAATGTCTCATTTGGTGGCTTATCATATCACCTCGTATCAGATTTTTTACAGCATGTTTTGCCCCCCCCCCATCTTCTCTAAGCGGTCTTTTGTCGTATTGCACTCAAACATCATGTCATGAACACTCCATCGACCTCCCATCATGTTTGTATTTTGTCGATCCTTTTGTTCGGTAACATTCATTTGTCGTCCGACACACCTTCCGTCACTTGCTCCAATCCATCTCTTCGCCCATCACTGGTATGCATAGCATCTGGCAAACGATTTTATCGATTCTTGCGTCTGATCATGGCGAATCTGAGGCTGACGAAGATGTGGAATGAAATCCGACCATATCACCTTAAACTTACACTAACTACTGTCTGTGATTCTTCCTTCTTAATGGACTACATTCAGTTTAACATTTTCCCTATCTCCTTCCCCTCTTCTCAGGTCGTTCAACTTCGAGCAACCTGCTACGTATGAAACGTAATTCCATCGGGCTATCCGCTCCGGATTTGGTCGCACTCTGGGTACGCATCAGACCCCTTTTTCGAGTCACCTATATTTTTTATTCGCCCCACCGGTTCAAGTATAACTTTTTGGTCCAAATATCTCACATTTCCCCATGTCACATAACCATCAACTTTCTCGAGCAGTGCTGAGTCTCTGGGTTTCGGCACTGCATTCAATTCCATTAAAGCCTCGAAATTCCATCATCCACTGCTCGGATGCTTCAAGTTAAACGGACAATCGACCTCAGGGATTTTCTTAATGGCCCTAATAGCTATGCAGAATTTCTCTCGCCTTTCGGATTCGGCTCAGCATCACGACGTCGCAGTTCTTATATCATGCACTTTTCGGCATCCAAACAGCAACAGAATCTGACAAATGCTCATTTGCCTGTAGTGCGTGGTGTAGTCGCCTTGGTTTATTGCTTAATCACGGATGCTTACGGAGTATCACTCACATCTAGTGGGAACACCGGGTAAACAATGCTGAGGTCTGCTAGTTGGTTTTTGGCAAGAAGCCTTCTGCTTCCTCACTTGAGTGTTTGTTGAATCTTGACGGCTCACATTGACTAGGCCATGTCCTCCGTATGCCAGTTGATCGGCTTCCTCGGCGTGCATTATACGCCGTGGATGCACCACGTTGGGCGAAATCTCGAGGTAGCCAGTCCATGACGCAGTCTGCAAAGTATTGCTCTTCTCTGATGACAACAGCAGTTCGCGTTCAACATCGGACTCTCTGTAATCTCGGATTTGAGCTTGAATCCTCTGAGTTGGCTGGTTCGCGTCTTTTATCTATCTATCTGCTACATACTCCGGCCTTTATTATTCGCTGATGTTGCGTCTAGTTTGATGACACCGATTGATGAAGCGATCAAGAGCATGCAGAAACTGTCCCTCGAAATTGCTATGGCTAATACATTCAATGTTCTTAAACGGAGCCTCGTGCTCCGCCCCATCAGTAACTGAACTCATGATCTTTCCCCAATCTAGAGACAGTTTCTCACACAAACGAGAAATATACGTATTATTATTATTATTATTTCTAGCTCAATAGCACTGTTCAACATATTTTTCTTTCTCCTGTTTTTCCTTGAAGTATTAACTTGTTCAGTTGCGTCCACTTTGCCTCTTTCCAAAATTGTTACCACTTATTCGGGTAACGATGTAGTTCAGGGTGCCTGGATCCAGCACACTCATGAGCTTGGATCGAAGCTTCCTAACTTACAGCGCATTCCATTACTGAATAAGTAAACACCCTCGAACGAACTTCACTTTTCAACCACGTGTTTGTAGTCAGTTATCTACGAGGGGTGTATCGGACTTGACGCTAAGCTTTGTTCAACCTGCTCAGTCCCCAATTACATTGTCAGAAACAAGCACCCCAAACAGAGGAGAGTATTTGTCTGCTCTTCCTGTACGGAAACATCGCTATGTTTGTTTTGGAATATTTTGAAATTTTCCAAACCCTTCGTGGTACACATCTCATCTGACAATTAGGCCCAAGATGTTCACTAATATGCCTCGTCTACGCTTCCAGCTGACGTCCACATAACTGTATTAGGAGGATTTGATGTATTTAAATGTAGTTCGTCGTTATTAGTTCTAACAACCACTAGGCTATCAGTCAGTAAGATTGCGCAGTCAGCAGAGATATCCAACGAATCGCGGCAACCATCCAGTGCTTTTACAATTCCTACTATCTGTCCATCCATATCCAGCTGTGATCTGTAATTGGTTATGCGCTTTCTGTATGTTCTTCAATAGGCACCGATTTTTTCCCACTGTGCGCTTACGCAGAAGCGGTAATCACCAATCCAGCGTTTCGTCCGCAAGTCACTCTCAGTGACTTAACTCTCAACCCCATGGCTTATCACACACATCCTTTTAGTTTAATTTTGCAACAGCATACAACCGTGTTGCTTATTGTGTGCCGTGAAGAGCTGCTTCAATTATCGTGGGGCTTACATCTCTTCATTGTCTGTTTTCTGCTTGTTTTCCACCTACTCGCGTCTCACCTCATCCTTATGCCCATCTCATTTCCCCGGGCCCCTCACTGTTGCCTTCCGTCATATTTGCTTCTAGCCTTGCTGTTAATGCGTACCTACCCTCAGAAGCGCCGGTCGGTTATGTTCACATTAGTCGCAAACTTATGCGAGCAGTGTTATTCCTATCGATTTCGCAGTGGCGCTGATTGCCATAACACCTACCGTTTGTCTATCTCGGGTGTCTTGTCGGGAAGCTTACACTTTTGTTCAACTTCACATCGATAGCGGCGTACCCTATGGATTCAACTAGTCTTGTGACTTCCTATTTTCTCATGACGTTTCTCGTCAACTGAACGTTTCCATTATCATTAGTTATCACCCTACACCTCAACTGGGGGTTAGGAACATCTTGGTGTAGTACAAAAAGAATGAAACTGTGACAGTGAAAACAAAGAAAAAGAGAAATTAGCTTGTCCTGACTTATGCTTAAGTAATGAGATCGTGGTTAGAGAGGACCATCGCAATGAGGCTGGAACTTACCGTGGTGCGATGGTTTGTGTGCCTCAGCGATCCACTGAACTATGCTGGGTGGTGCTTTTGCACCTTCAGAGTCACTCATGCCAGACTGGTCAATGGTTGGAGACAAGACAAACTCAGCCTCCTAGTCCTCCAGGTTGGGGGTTGGAATGAGGGTCGCTCCTTATTCTTTAAAACGGAATCCTTGTAGCCCAGTACCAAACCCGCTGCCTTGCGGACAGGTTTTTGAACCAAAGGCTTTGGTTGAGAACCCTAATCGTTCTCCTGTCTAGGCCCGAGCAGCCTGACAATATCCTGCCCACGCAATACAATGAATCTCACTTCAAACAAATTTCTGATGCTCTGGCCACCGCAGAGGATAATCAACGGTGCCCTATCTGCTGCATCGAGCAGGGTGGATAGGGGTTTGGATGCTACTGCTCATGCCTTCCCGTTTTCTTATTCCCCCTCTTGAGCTTTTTCACCCTTATCGTCCCGTTCCAGCTTCACTTTTATCCCCCCCCCTGTTTCCAACCCCCCAATTCTCGGCCCTCCCCCACCTTGCTTCAATAATCGCTTGTCTTTTAGTTTCAACTCACATGTGAAAGCGGAGCGTCATTCCTGCACTGTCAACAGGCCCATGTCCGGCCAAGCATTCAAGCCCAGTCCATCGGCTTCCATTTAGAGCCCTCGATCCTCCTTCAGATTGGCCTGCCTCAAGGTACACACATTGCTTCAGATCGGTCAACAGGCAGCACTTGCTCGAACATTAGAGACCCTATCGATCGATATCCGCTGCTTATCGGAGACCCACCTGCAAAACTCGAGCTCTGTACTCACTTTGCGATCCCCTTCAGGTGAAACTAGCAGCACTTTCTCATTGCGTCTATACGGTGACGATGCAGCTTCGAGCACCGGCCAAGCCGGTGTTGGTATTGCCCTGAGTCCCCGGGCTGAACCTACTCTGGTTGATTGCATTCCAAGCAGTAGTCGGATGTTTGCGGTCCGATTGGCTGGATCGTTCAAAACTTCGAAGTCGCGTGGGACTAACAGGTGTCTATCCGTTATCCCTGCCTATGCACCGACAAACTGTAGCGATGACTCGGTAAAAGATGACTTCTATCGTCAACTGAACGAGGTCCTTAGCCACAGAGGGAGCTCGGATACTGTAGTGCCAGCTGGGGATCTGAACGCTTAAGTTGGAAAATTACCCACAGATGAGCTGCATCTGGGGGGTCCATACAGTGTAGGCTCCCGTAATGATAATGATGAGTGGCTACTTCATTTGTATGAAGATACCCGCTTACTTCTTGTGAGCACTAACTTCCGACACAGCACCCGCCGGAGGGTGACTTGGCGCCAACCAGCAATGAACGCAAATCGATCACGTTGCGATAAGTTACCGATGGAGAGGCTACGTCCAGAACTGTCGCTCGATTTGGAGCACAGGTGTGGCCACCGACCATGCACTTGTATGTGCTGATCTGCGGATGCGTTTTCGCGGACACCCACGACGACGTTGTGAGCGCATTGACACCGGCAGACTGGTGAATCCAGCTGTTCTGAATGCCTATCAAAGTACGCTGTCATGCGAGTTGAGTAAGCGCTCACTGGATGCAGTTGCAGCTCACTGGTCTCATATCCACCAGTCCTTACTAGCAGCAGCGAATCCTCATGTGGTAAGTCTAATCGTCAACATGGGCATTGGGTCTCTTCGCAGTCTCTGGAACTTATCGATGCTCGCAGGCGTATTCCAACTGGAAGCGAACACAATGAAACTCGCAAAGAGCCCCAGGCAAAACTCCTTGCTAGCCTGAATAGAGACCGCGAATCTTGGTAGTCTCATCGTGCGTCAGAGATGGAAGTGGCCGCTACCCTTGGCAACCATCGTAAGTTATTCCGTCTGATACGGGAAACGGGCAGCAGGAGACCTGGTGTTAGTGAAACTATACGTGACGAGACTGGACAGCCTATCCACAATTTGTCAAAACGTCTGGAGCTTTGGGCTGAGCATTTTGAAAAGCAATTTAATCGGCTAGAATTGTTCGATTCTTCGCTGGTCATTGATCGCCCTGCTCCGTGGGCTGTCCCTTTGGATCCACCCTCTCGCTCAGAAGTCGAACGTGAGATCGGACTGTTGAAGTTAAACAAAGCCGCGGGACCAGATGGTCTTCCTCCAGCTCTTTTCAATTTCGGAGACTCTGCTCTTGTTGATGCTTTGCATGAATTACTAGTGAAACTGTGGGAGCAGGAGATTGTCCCAACCGACTGGAGCCGCTCCGTTATTGTTCCCATCCTCAAAGGCGGCTGGCGCTCGGAATGCGGCAACCATAGAGGAATCAGTCTGATCTCCATCGCCTCCATAATTCTCCACAGACTGACTGGCGCTCGTGAAAGCCAGATTCGTGAGGAGCAAGCCGGGTTTCGTCGTGGTCGTGGCTGCATCGATCACATCTTCACCTTACGTCAGTTGTTGGAGCACCGTCACACATATTGGCGGCCCACCGTAGTCGTGTTCCT